TTAACATTTCTACACAGCATTGTTGAGAATAAGTATTCCGGAACACTTAATTGTGCTCATGAACAACCTGTACATAGACCAAGAGGCAGCTGTTTGAACAGAACAAGGGAACATTGAATGGTTTAAAATCAGGAGAGGTGTGTGCCGGCATTGTATTTTTTCACCACACTTTGTGTATATGATGAGCAAATAATCTGAGAATCTGAATTATATCAAGAGGAATATGACATCAGGATTGGAGGAAGACTCATTACAACCTGTGATATACAGATTATATAATTTTGCTTATTGGAAGAGAAGAGGACTTAAAATACTTACTGATGTAGATCAAAGACCACACAGCCTTTGGTACACATTGTACCTCAATGTAAAGAAAACAAAAATTCTCACCACTGAACCAATAAATAGCTTCATGATAAATAGAGAAAAGGTTGAAGTTGCCAAAGACTTCATTTTGATTGGATCCACTATCAACACTCATGGAAGCAGCAGACAATAAATTAAACAATGTATTACAAATCTGCTGCACAAGACCTCTTTAAAGTATTTAAGAGCAAAGATGTCAGTTTGAGGACTAAGTTGTATTTGACCCAAGTCCTGATATTTTCAGGAAAGTCATATGCTTGTGAAAGTTGGATAATTAATATGGAAGACTGAAGAAGAATTGGTTTGAGCTATGGTATTAGAGAAGAATATAAAAGTACTATGGACTGCCAGAAGAATAAACGAGTCTGTGTTGGGAGAAGTACAGCCAGAATTCTCCTCAGAAGCCAGGATGGCGAGATTTCTTTTCTCATATTTTGGGTATGGTATCAGGAGGGACTAGTCCCTGGAGAAGGACATCAGACTTGTTAAAGTGGAGGGTCAGTGAATAAAGAGGAAGACTCCCAATGAGATGGCTTGGCATTGTGGTAGCAACCATGGGCTCAAAGGTAACAACAATTGTGAGGACGGCGGAGGACTGTTGCACATTGTGTCTCTAGGAGTTGGAACCAACTCAACGGCACCTAACAACAAAAAACCACAGCTACCACTCTGCCCACACTTTGTGTTGGGAGGATGAAAGAGTAGAAAGTGTGTGGACAGTAAGTCGATCACTTTCCCTTCATACTGTTTTGATGTATGATGGATAGTGGAGTCCTGGTGTGGTGCTGTAGGATAAGCGAGGGACTGTTAACTGCAAGGTCAGTGGTTCAAACTCACTAGCTGCTCCTATTCAGGGTTACTATGTGTCAGAACCAACTCAGGGGCACTTAACAACAACAACAGCAACACTATAGATACAATGCAAGCCAGCGTGGATTGTAGCGGAGAAAGCAAATTCAAATTCATTTCTAAAAACCGTGGCATGCCAACACGAAGTCATACATTGCAGAGGAGCTACAACTCTCATAAAAAAGGACATTTTGTTTCTTGAAACTGTGAAGTTGTTTTTAAAATGTGGGCTGAATTATTAGTCATGTGGAACCAGAATCCTTTGATGTTCACTGCACTGCATTGAATCTAGCACAAATGCATTTGCAGGTGTAGTGACCTTCTGCTCGTAATGAAATTGTTCTCTGGACCAAAAAAGGAATTCATTCTGAGAGGCCCTCTGCACTTGCCCATTCCCATGTACATTAAATTGGACAACAGAACTTCTCAGGAAAGCAAATCCCACATAGGATAGGGGCCACGTGGCCTTTCTCTCATGTGTCTCAAATTTTGGGACTCAAGTTTCAAACTTCTTCTTGGAAAGCTGCAAATCATCCCATGCATTTTGAAATTGTTGGGCGATGCACCAAGAATATTGAACAGGAAAAAAATTTTTTTCCCTTACAAAATACTTAGGAAACCTAGAAGTCAGAAATTGAAAAGGTAGAAAAGTACTTTGGATGGATTTCAGAGTCTGGGTACAGAATGCCTTCAGATCTCACCCAGTCCCAAACAACTCATTTGCAGTGGTAAATGGAGGTACAGAGAGGCTAAATAATTTGTCAAGGTTATTACTGGGAAAATCAAATTCCTATTGCTCTGCTATCAGGTTTGTTCCCCTTTGTTCTACTTCCAAGGAGTCCTGGTATCACAGTGGCTAAAGTGCTCAGCTGCTCAGCCTATAGGTGACTGGTTTGAACTTAGTAGTGACTCTGCAGGAAGAAAATGTGGCAGTCTGATCTTGTAAAGACTGTTGTTGTGTTTAAGTGCTGTTGAGTCAGTTCATAGTGACCCTGTATAGTATTTCTGAGGTACAGCTGGTGGATTTGAACCATTGACCTTGTGGTTGGCACCCCAGTACTTAGCCTACATTACCACACAAGAACTCCATGTAAAGATTACAGCTTTGGAAACACATGGGCTACTTCTGTTCTGTCCTACAGGGTCACTGTGAGTCAGACTGGCTTGTTACCAGTGGATTTTGGCTTGGTTCTACTTCTGTTCTGCCACCCACTGCACATGCAATACTTCTTCTGACTCTATCCATGGAGCTAGAACAGTCATCACAAGTTAAAGGGCAGAGTATTCCAGACTTCCAAGTCTGCAAAAGACCTCAGATGCGAGTTTAGGAGGCCCCACAACACCTTCACGTCTGACCTGCTAGCTACAACTGGATTTTCCCCCACTATCTCTTTAAGATGCTACTATAAGCTCAGGGATTCTCAGGAATACTCTCATTGGCTACAGATTTGGAGGTTGCATTTAATTCCTCAGTACATCAATCATAAGCTCAGGGTTCCTCACTTCTGACCTGCGGGCTTCCACTAATCCCTTGGGATTGATCATTTACTATAACTCACAAAATTCATAGACAGTGCTATACATCTATAATTAAAATTTTATTATAGTAAACAAGGATATAAATGAAGCCAGGCATAAAACAATATCTGGGGGAGGGATATTCCCAGCATGGAGTTTCCATGTCCCCAAAAGGACACATTACCCTCAATGTACATCAATGACTTTTGCCAGCCAGGTACCCATGGAGCGTCTATATCCAGAACCTCTATTGGAGCTTCATTTTTAATTTTAACTCCAATCCTCCTCTCCTAAGGTAGGTTGATATCATGAGGTTGATGTCATATGGTGGGTATTTCTTGTATAGCTAACCATGATCCAACATGAGTCATGGGTGTGGTCTGTTGACTTCATCAAAGATAATTCAGTCTTTGGGAAAGTCCAAGATTTTAAGGGTTATCTCTAGTAAAGAAAGACTAAGACAAAATTCTTTGAGTAATATTAACCCCACAGTTATCCAATTAAGTAGCCAGAGTCCAAATTTTCCATCTTTCAGTTCAAGGCCGTTAGTGTTACCCCTTTGCTCTTCCTCTCCATCTCTCACCTAATTTACCACTAACTTAAGGGAACACAAATTAAGGAAACATGTCACTTTGTTGTTGCTGTTGTTGTTAAGTGCTTTTGAGTCTTAACAACTTTTGACTCATAGTGACCTGTATAGGGTTTCCAGGGAGCAACTGTTGGGTTTGTACCACTGACCTTGTGGTTAGCAGTCCAGTGTTTATCATACAGTACCACACCAGGACTCTGAAACTATTATATAATAAAATTTCTTGTGGTTTAAAGCAGCCCAGTGCTTATCCTCAGTGCCACACATGTCACTTTGTTGTTGTTGTTATTAGGTGCCATCGAGTCAGTACAGACTCATAGTGACCTTATGTACAGTAGAACGAAACACTGCCCAATCCTGGGCCAACCTCACTACTGTTGCCACGCTTGAGTCCATTGATGCTGCCACTTTGCCAAGCCATCTCATTGGGAGTCTTCCTCTTTTTCTCTGACCTTACCAAACATGGTCTCCTTCTCCAGTGACTGTCACTTTAGATGACTTTAAAACCTAATGATGCTATCTGTTCCATTTGTTGTTGTTAAATGCCATAAAGTCTTGACTCATATCAACCATATGTAGGATTTTCAAGGACCAGCTGGTGAGTTTGAACTGCTGACTGTGGTTTTCAGTCTAGTGCTTATTCTATAGTGCCATTTCAGTCTTGAAACCTCTATGGAGTAGTTTTACTGTCTTACAGGGTCACTATAGTTCAGATTTGACTTGACGACAGTACTTTTGTTTTTGTGTCCCACCCTTACCCACTAAATAAAATTATGTTCTGGGTTTCTGTATTTTTCACAAGCTCCTCAGAAATTCATATGCACATTAAATTTAGGAATTATTGATCTAGGATCAGTAAGTAGCCAGGTGGCACATACCAAGAAATGGCCACAAACTTTTGTCATAGTTGAATTTATCTGGAGAATGTAGTTATACTGTTTTCCTTGTTATTCTTCGTGCCAGCCATGCAATGAGCAAAGCTGAGCTAATGATAGTTCAAAGAGTAATTACATCTGCTTTCCTAGTTTCCTAATTCCTGCTCTGGGCATAGCTATAACTGTTAGCCCCCAATTTTTTTTTTTTTTTTTAACTCCAACCTGGAAATATTTATCTGCTGTATTTGCTCTGCTGTACTTCATGAAAGGTAGTAAATGAATGATTGCTAGTATCCTCAAATACACAGACCCACTCCAGGCTCTGTTGGTACACAGTACTTGGCCTGAAAATGTCTTGCAATGACTCCACAAATAGTTCAGTTAGAACCCCAATTACCTCTCCACGCAGGTAATTATTACTTCTGCCATTTAAATGAAATTTTGGTACATTGCTTATAGCAATAAAATTATGAGCATATTTATGCTCTCCTTGCTTCTATTTATAGCAGAAATTTAAAATTCTGTTTGTGTTGGGGTATAGCTCAGAATAGTCCTTCAGCATAAATTTGTCTGATAATAAATAAAATAATACCATTAGTCTCATTTGTTTTTCCTCAGTAATAAACAAACAAAACCACCCAAATTACCCTGCACATGGAAAAGCGGCTTATTTCATGGTAGACTAGCAACTGAGTAATTTGGTAGGAATAAGGAGCTATCGAATGTGTTGTAGCAATGTGATGTCATGGCCCTTTTGGAAGTCTCATTATGGAGTTTAACTGGTTTTGTGGTGTGTTTTGTAGCATGCTCTTTCTGACAAGGCGTGTGTGAAAGCCTTTGACCCAAAGACAACCTGCTTACAGGAATGCCTTATCACTACATTCCAGGAAGCCTACTTCGTTTCAGAAAGTTTTGAAGAAGCCAAAGAAAAGATGAGGTAAACTTGTTTTCTTTCCATCTAGAGAAAAATCACTCTTTATTTTTCTGGCCCTGCTCCTTCCTTATATCTATCTCTTGTACCAATTGGGGTTGATTGCAAATCCTTCTATTTCTGTTTATTCTACAGGGACTTCGCAAAGTCAATTACCCGTCCCTTCTCCGTATACTTCAATCCCTACACACAGAGTATTGAAATTCTGAAAGACACCAGAAGTATTGAAAACGTGGTTCAGGATCTCCGCAGTGATTTGAACACAGTGTGTGATGCCTTAAACAAAATGAACCACTACCTGGGGATCTGATGCCTGGGACCAGTGTTGATGCCAGCATGTTCTTTTTGGGGCTTAGCAGCAATTCAGTCAATGTCATATAAAACACCAGTAACTTTCTGTATCATGGCTAGGCTAGAAAGCATGCAATTCTGTGTATCTATACCTACTTGTAACTTACTGTCTTAATGTCTGAAACACCACAAGGAACCCAGTGACAGATAACCACCCAATGTATGAAAGATTGTGATATGTTTAAATGTCTTAAACATATTTGACATTCCTGCTTAGTGCTTTAACTAAACTACAGCTATTTAAAGTTTGTAGCAAATAGCCCTCTTATGATTCTAGCTTATGACCTTTACTTCCTTGAATCAAAGTCTTTCCTCTGTGTTTATTAGACAAAATGAAAATAGCAGTGAAGCTGTTTCTATTTTGAATAGTATCAGTGTTTTCACAGGCAGAATTGTATGATAAATCCAGAATTGTAATGAAACCACCTATCATAATAACAAAAGGTTCAGTATTCATTTAAAAAATTGTTGAGGTGACATAGTAGTGGGGATAATTTTTAGATTGAGTATTTATACAATGCAAGCAAAGAGAACTTTTTACAAGTGAAGTACAGGTTGTATTGATCTTGTAGAAACTGAATTGTGGCATGCTTCTCAAGGTATCTTGGAAGATAATACTTTCAGAGAGGCCATTAGAAATACTAGACAGATCATTTGCAGTTCCTGGCAACCCCATGTGTGTAAGGGTAGAACTGTGTTCCATAGTGGTTTCAGTGGCTGATCTTTTGGAAGGAGCTCACCAGACCTTTCTTCCGGCATATCTCTGAATAGACTTAAATTTTTGTTCTTTTGATTAGCACCTGAGCCTATTAACTGCTTGCCTCATCCAAAGGCTTCTAGAAATACTCAACAATGGAGAAGAAATCTTGCGAGTGTGGATTTTGCGCTAAAATAAATTGGATTATCATGCTCAGGTGTTTGGTCCATTTCTTCAGTCAGTGGGCAATAAAATCATAAAGCTATAAAGATTATCTTTGATTTCAAAGCTGTAGAAATTGAGTTTCAGAGAGAATGAGTGACTTGCCCAAATTGCATGGTTGGTTGTGCACTAACACTCACAGTCCGTTGCCTCCTGCTTTTAGGTTACTGGGAGGTTCAATTTAGGGTATGTGTGTCTTTATGTGTAGCTAGAAAAGGGAAACTAGTATCTACCAAAACTAATGTTTATCACTAGGACTGGGCTTGTGTCCTGTCTCAACCCCCAAATTTCTGGGAGATTGTTTCCAAAGTTTTCCCAGAATTTGGGTAACTTTGGACAAATATTAGTGATATACACCAAAACTTTGGTGGTCCTTGCCATAAGTGTAGTTAGTTGATTAAATGAACAAATGAAAAGCTATTGGAGGAGTGAATGAATTTCATCTTCTTGGTTCCTTCACTGACCAAACACAGCCACTGTTTCTCTTATCCTGCTTTGAGTGGAAGAGGAAGAGATGAAATAAAAATTAGAAATGAAAAACTCAGGAAATAATTTTCAAGTTGTTGCTTTCATGTGACCTTGAGTCAGTTCTGACTCATAGTGACTTGTATAGGGTTTTTAAGGAGCAGCTGGTGGCTTTGAACCACTGATTTTGTGGTTAGCAGTACTGTGCTTATCCTATTCCAGGACTCCAACTTTTAAAGTTAGTCATCCTAAAATATTTTACTTGAGCAAGTTTATGTGTTATAATTCCCATTTGGAATTGGTTTCTTTGTTATGTTAATAAGAGTTAATGTTGGGTGTTTTAAAGCTAATTTCTTTTGAAATATAAAAGAGGTTAAGTAAGCTAGCAAGACAGCAGGGATGGGGAAAGATACATGCCAAGTCATATGAAGATCACCCAGGAACAGAGTGGAACGTTCTCTAGAACTGACAGAGAAAGAGAAAGCATTTTCCTAGAACTAGCACCCCGAATTTAGACTTCTAGTCTCCTACACTGTGAGGAATAATTGATGCATTTGAGTTATGGTGTTGGGAGGAGAATATTGAAAGTACCATGGGCTGCCAAAAGAACAAACAGATCTGTGTAGCAAAAAGTGTAGCCAGAGTGTTTCTTGGAGGCCAGGATGGTCAGACTTCATCTCTCATACTTTGGACATATTGTCAGGAGGGACCAGTCACTGGAAAGGGATATCATGTTTGATAAGGTGGAGGGTCAGAGAAAAAGAGGAAGACCCCCAGCGAGATGGATTGGCAAAGTGGCAGCATCAATGGGCTCAAGCGTGGCAACAATTGTGAGGTTGGCCCAGGATTTAGCAGTGTTTCATTCTTTTGTACATAGTGTCTCTATAAGTCGGTACCAACTCGATACCACCTAACAACAACAACAACAACAAACTGTGAGAAAATAAATTTCCATTTGTTAAAAGTACCTACCTGTGGTATTTCTTTTATAGTACCACTAGATAACTAAGACAAGTCATTTCCAAGGATGTTCTGTAATAAGAAATTGCATTTAATTTGAAACGAATTCACACGCTTGTATGGGGTCCAGTTGTTAAGAGCCATTGAGTTGGTTCCAACTCATAACAACCCTGCATAGGGCTTTTGAGGCTTTAAAACTTTGCAGGAGCAGAAAGGCTCATCTTTCTCCTTGGAATGACTGGTGGGCTTGAACTGCAGACCTTGTGGTTCACAGTCCAGTATGAGTCAGAAATTTCTGGACTAAATGTATGCAAGAGGAATGTAGGAAAGAGTTAAAATATACATCAAGGAGAGGTCAAATTAAGATGCAAATTCAGAGATTTGGCTTTCTTAACTATTGAAGATATTTCACTTCTGAAATTCTCCGAACAATATGAGTATTTGAGAAGGGATTTGGTGAAGAGAATGTGAGAGTTACATAATTTAAGTATTCTTCTATGTTGGGGGGATAGTGCCTTGAAACATCATTGGTGATGGAGTACTGATGTGCAAGCTGTACCAAATTCAGAGGATCTGAAAGGAGCAAGTAGCTATATATTTCAATAGTTTATATATGGACTCACATATGCATAGTTTCTGTATCTTTCTTTACTAGATCCAGGTGATCCTGAATATTGAATTAAACAAAGTAACCCAGAAAGTTGCTGAATTCAGAAAACTGGCTAAGAAACTCTTAATGTCTCTCTTCTATAGCTTTGTTATTTCTTTCACTAAAAACCACCACCAAGAACAAAATCCCCCCAAACAAACGGTTAGCATGTTTCACCTTCAGGTCCTATGAAAGGGACTTGTTAAGTGCCGTCATCAGTTCTATGTAAGATTTGTAAGACTGTAAATCTTTATGGGAGTAGAAAGTCTTATCTTTCTCCTGCATTGTAACTAATGGATTCAAATGAACTGAACAGTAAACAGCCCAAAGTGTAGTCCACTACACCACCAGCATTCCCGAAAGGCACTTAGTTAAGTTTATTTAAAGAAGAATTATATGAGTCCTGGTATGGTGCTGTAAGATAAGCACTGGACTGCTAACCACAAGGTTGACATTTCAAACCTTCCACTTACTCCTTGGAAATCCTACACAGGGTCACTCTGAGTCAGAATTGACTGGGTGGCACTTAACAACAATACTCAATTGCAAACCCTTAACAAAAATAACACTTGAATTGTCTCATGATTGGCTTATAGTGGAAAGGACAGTTTTCTTACATGTGCAAAATCTATCCTGTTTCGAAAAATAGAATAGTTGCAATGCAAATAGGCTTTCCCACAGAGCTTATAGAGGTATCATACAAACAGGAGGAATTACTTGATTCTATTTAGATTTGTACTTCATTCGGAATAGCAGTAACCATGGTTTTCACTGTGTGAAACAATGGAATCATGGTTTTCATTTGTTATGAGCATTTAACATGCAAATGCCATTACAGCTAATGATGGGAAAAAATCCTATAAAATTTAATAGCCATCATAGGAAAAGAGTTGGCAGAAAAACTTCCCTACTGGAAATCATGCAACAAAATAATCACAGCCAACTCTTTGTCATATCTGATACCAACTCAGTGTAGCCATTTTTCTCAATTATGCCTCATGACTTAAAGCTAAATTAAATAGATCCAAGGGCAAGTCCTGGTGTGGTGCTGTGGGTTAATGCGGCAGACTGTAAAGCCTTTTGAACAGGAAAGTTGGCGGTTCAAGCTCACCAGCCACTCCTCGGAAACCCTATACAGGGTCACTATGGGTTGGAACTGACTGGATGTCACTTAACAAAAACAACAAGGGCAATTATAAGGTTAAAAACTGTGCTCACTGTCATTGCACTGTGAGCCTCTGCTTTATGTTTAGCATTGCTGCTGACTTCTGTAATCAGCTAATCAGAAATCAACACAAGGATCCTAGACAAGTCCAGTTTTTTTTTTTTTTTTTAGTGCATCACTCTGCAAAACTCAGAATCTGATTAGTCCAGTTTTCTTCTTGAAACATTTTTGTCTGCTATGAGTTAGGGTCAGATACCCGGTGTATTCCTGGATGATCAGTTTATTTGGGAATAATCGGCTTCATAAATTGAACTTTTAAAATGGCGATTTTTGATCCATGGTACTTCTTGGTTTTGTTTTTACGTTAGGGGTAAGGGTTGTGAGATTTGTGTTTTCTGGCTTAGTTTCATTTATTTACTGTGTAATTTAGAAATAATGCTTTATGGGGATAATACATTTGTGCTTGCTTTGCTTGAATATAGTAAATGGGCCTGAGCCTAATGAATGTAAAGTATTGCAACATTTACCAACATGAAAAGTCTGAAATGAAAAACAGTCTGCTTTTATGAGGAAGCAAATAGAAATACAAAGTTTCATTTTCAAATGGAGTCATGGCTCACATCATCTCATTTTCTTCATTGGAGAAGGAAAACATTAACACAAGATGCGGTTGTCCTCCAATTCATTTGATCTAATTTTCAACTTCTAAAGAACCAAGCACTGATGCTTACTCTCATGAACCTTGTCTTACTTATAATGAAAAAGAAAGCAGCCCGAAGTTTTCCAGTGTATCTGTGTTTTTTGCTTTTGTTGTTTTCAATTTCCATAGAACTCTCTTGTTTTGGAAAAGGAGTCTTACGCAAAGTGCCATATTCTGGAAAGAGTCAAGGGAATTAATACTGAG